GATACATCACACCAACCACTTCTTTAAAGTCTCCTTTGGTTATAGTAACCATCACACCTCTATCCACCCACTCACCCCGAAATTTATACAACTCAATCCCAACCATTCAACAAAGGAAGAAGCAATAAAGTTGGTCGCGTAGTGAGTACTTATAGCAACCAAACAACCCTCATAGCCTTCTACATTCGCTACATAATGCCTCAAATTTATCTTTCTCCCACTTTCATCATAAAATATTTCAACACTTGAAGAAGCACAATTAGTTTCATAAGAAGAACCCACATAACCATCCATGTCTCCCTTATGACTCCTTGTACCTACAAAAGAAAACTTAAAGCAAGAAAGTTGGTTAGTCAAAAATAGGACCTCACAATTCACTCCCTTAGTGTATCATTCGATATATATGTCACTCAACACTCGTGTTTTCACTCAAAGGTCAAAAGCGTCCTCGCTCAATTGAAGTCACCACTCAAGCCTTTTTCCACACAAGGGTGTCTAAAAGTTCTCTTCATAACCAACGTTCTCCAATCAATCCAAGCAGGTAATCAAGTATCGGTTCGGAATGGAATGTATGCGATACCAAAGAACGCACAATTAAAAACTAACGGACTTGAGCCAAACAATTCACAACGAAAAACAAGAGAAAAGCAGGAAAGAAATGGCACGAAAATAAAGCACACAAAGAAACTAGAAATAAACTCAATATGAAGTTATGAACTAATATCAAGTTAATCTAGTTGAGATTTAAGTTTACCACAAATTGGAAAGAAAGAAATGAAAAGAAACTACAGAGACACTTCTTCAAATTTTGGCCATATTCGCCAAAAAAAAAAAGGACAGATTCGTAAAATCGGTCATATTTGCAAAGAATGGCCAAATCTGTAATCATAGTTAGACTTGCAATATTGTGCAGGTTCACAGTACTGGCAGATTTCTTGTACACAAAGTCACAAACTGGTGCAACCATTCAGATGTAGACTTAAAACTATGCAGACTTCTCAAGAATAGACCAAGCAACTCTCAGACACAAACTGCCCAAACCTGAGCTTTTTAACTGGTGCAGAACTAACTGTAAAGTGCAGAAATTGCAGCTTGAGTAGTGCAGTTTTGGCAGTGCAGAAATCCGTCTAAAATTGCAGGTGCACTTGTATCAATCTGTAGAAAAACTGGAGCTAAAACTTGTGCAGAAACATCAGCTCAATAGTGCAGAAAGAGCGCAGATTCCAAGCTAAAACTGTGCATAAACTGGACAGAAACTGCAGTAAAACAACCTTTCACAGCCACACCAAACTTCAGCTGCAATACTGATTCTTCAAGCCCAAGAATGAGTCTCAACCAGTGAAAAAACAGTCGGCAAGTTCAACACAATTTTCGAGCAAATGACCGGTGCAAACATTGTATTCAACAGCTGCAAATACCATGCTCAATTTCTGTAGGCCATGAAGTTATATCTAGGCTGGTTCTACTGTGTACCAAAGGGTTTAAAAATTGCAGAAACTAATTTTCAAACTTGCAGCCAAACAAGAACTTGATAGCAGGCAGCTATGATAGTTTGCAGTTCAATCACAATAACAAACTTCAGCTCAATACTCAGAAGTCAAATGCCAATCGACTCTAATGCAGCAACAACGAATTAGGACTTCGTCAGCAGTAGAGAACCATCAAAATGCAACTCCTATTTCAGTTCTAAACAGGGGGAACAATGATAAAACTCAGTTCATACAAATTCAGAAGAGCATCCCAATTTCGTGTCGCCAACAGCTACTATCGACTAACAAAAAATGAATTCGACGACAGTCCTAAACTGCAGTCACAAGTTCTTCAACATATCCTCAAAAAGCAGTCTATGATCGAACTCATATTTCACTACAAATTTAGAGACAAATTTCAGTTTGAACTCAAGGAATCGAACCTGATTCGTTGCGACGGTATCTCAGCTGCTCGAATCCAGTCGAATCAGTCCGCGAAGTTCTTCGAGCTCGGCTAAGAATTCAAACTCAAGCAATAATCAACAAGAAGCTCGAGTCGACTTATGAACTCAACTTAATCAATTCCAAAGAATAGCGATGAAGTTTCAGCTTTGAATTCAGAAGTCGAGCTAAGTTTTAATACTCAGAAATCAAAACTCTGCAATCTCAATGAAGAGCTGCTGAAATCAGCTACGCATCGATGTGTAGGGACGTCGCGTAGGCTAGAACTCAATCCCAGAATTTGAAGAACACAGCAGTAAGTTCTTCGACTGATTCAAGAAATTTTCAATCCAATCTCGTCCAAATATTCACCAAACGAACTCAACCTTTGGATTCAACTTCCACTAAATAATCCGAGTAAACCTCAGTGACTAATTTGAACAAACATTCACGAAATCGACGAACCCTAGGTCGTCTTCTTCTTCGCACAATCGGTTCAAAATTTCGAACCAAAACCCCCAGCGATTCAGCTTCAAACAATCTCAATCTTCAGATTTTCACCTCAATCAAGCTGTACCAACAGGATTTGAACACACCCCAATCGAATTCGAACTCGAATTTTGTTTTATTAAGAGCAAAACCCCCAAATCTGGTAGCACTGCTCGTCGGTTTAGGGTTCAAATCTCAACCCAAACTTCGAAATTCAGCTCAACTCATTGATTCAATCTCAGGTAATGAAGTAAGTCAGAAGTTACAGAATCAAAATCGACGGAGATGGAGCAAATTTCCGAATTTTCTATTTTGGAAACAAACAAAGAAGAACAAGGAAATACTATTTTCTATTTCAGAAACCCAAACAACGGATGAACAGTAACAATTACTATTTTTTGAATTTTATTTTTAATTTTCTGATTTGTTGATAATCAAATTTCAAAGACCCGAGTATCGATAAAACAATCCAAAACCTCTGCTATGATACCAACATGATACGGAATCGTAGCGAAAACATGAATAATGCCAAAATACACGAACTCAACTAACTATGAACTAGTTAGACCTCTTGAATTTACTATCATAAACACTAATCGAGTAAGAACACTAATGCGTGTAACCTCAAAATAATCTCATTCCCGAGCCTACGTCGATTAAGTGAAGGTGAAACTTTAACATGCAAAAACGCGAGATGTAACAGTTCATGATGTAATATGCTTTATGTGATAGCATCAAGGATAGTGATAGGGTTTTTGAAGCTTCAAGAAGGACGGCTAAAGAATTGCACACTAAGGTTGCTGAACTTAGGATACAGTATATATATAAGTTTTATGCATTGCATAACAATACATATACAACTTTTATACAAAAATGTAATACATATCATACATGCATAACTTCATTTATATTTACATGTATATATATCTATATATATTGTATAATTGTGTATATGCAAAATTCAATAAAAAATTATAATACGAATACCATCTAGTCACCCCATTAAACCCAAAACCCACTGTTGATACCCACGTCAAAAGATATTCCCTCACAAAATACATTATGATTTAAAAAAGAAGAAGAAGAAGAGAAAAGAATAAATCACCTGTATAAAAATGAATAACTTGCTGAGCTATCATAAAGTCTTATATCCTTAAAGAAATTTTCCTAACCACCAATAAAACACCATCAGAAATCAAAATCTTGACTAGAAAATCTTGCGACTTCTAATGCCACTCTAGTATCATGCATCGTAACGTTGGTCGAGTAAATCCTTTTAAAAATTGAATTAAAATTTTTGTGATTTTTCCAGATTCTCAAACCAATGACAGCAATTTGAGAAGAAGAACCACGATATACAAACATACAATTTTTATACACTTATAATTTGATTATACACTCATGATACACAAACACACTCTGGATATACTCAATATACACTTTAAATACATAAATACACTCAGGATACACTGAATAAAGATTAAGAATACATTTTCAAAACTTAGGATACGATGTATATACATTTTTATACGTTACATAACAATATATATACAACTTTATACAAAA